AGAGTTTATATATATATATATATATATATATATATATATATATATATTAATTATGAATAGACATGCATGATATTAATTAGATGGACTCTTAACAATTAAATCAATTCAACATATCATATTCAATATCTTTTAATCTTAAAAATATTTTTTTGTAATTCTAAGTAAAGACTCCATACTTTTTTTTTTATATTTCTATAATTTTTACCCTATGCTATTAATTCTATTAGATATCAACTTAACCTTTGGTTTGGATTAATTAATCAAGCTTTATTTAGCCTAAAAAAGTTAGTTAAATTAACTAATCAGTACTTATCCACTAATTAATTATTCTCAATATTCATGATGATAACTAATCATTGATCATCACCAATGCACAACATTCAAAGTCAAATCACTACTCGCATTCTATTGAATGCATATACAGGGGCAGAATTAGCTTTAGTTCTCAGGGAGGGCAAGTATCAAACTTATAAAAAAGTTAAAAAATATTTAGAAGGGTGCAAAAATATTTTATTTTGCACATAATCGATTTTCACAGACTTGTTTATTGGTATTTGAAAAGTTCAACATAATCGGATGAAAATAGCGGGAGGCAACGAGGCTTTCTGATTTTTTGAGGGGCAAATTAGGTGAAAAAAAGGTTGGCTGGTAAAATTCAAGCAGGCATATTACAAATAACCTTTAATATACTAAGAATTTTAATTTTTTTTTGGAGTGTCAATTAGGGGTGTCAAAATTGGACCCGACCCGAAAACCCAACCCGAACCCAAACCCGAACCGAAAATTTTGGGTTTGGGTTGAAACGAACCCAAAATTGGTCGGGTTCGGGTTCAATAATTCAACTCGTTTATAAAATCGGGTTGAGTTCGGGTTGACCCGTCAACCCGAAATTGACCCATTTTGACACGATAACTTGTTTTTGACCCGAGAATCTGAGATTGACCCGTTTTTTACCCTTTCTTGACCCGAAAAAATGAGCTTGACCCATTTTTGGACCGAAAAACTAGCAGTTTTTTGTTCGAATCGGGTCGGGTTGACCCAGACCCGAAGCGGGTCGGGTTCAGGTCCGGAAAACCTACCCGTTTATAGAAACGGGTCGGGTTCGGGTTGACCCGAACAGTACTGGGTCAATTTCAGGTTCGACCCGAACTCGACCCGTGACCCAAAATTGACACCCCTAGTGTCAATTGCCCCCCTCAGCACTACGCAGTGATATATAATCAATATCAGATTTGTCATTTATCTAAATTGCATAATTAATACATAATAATTACAGACATGACCCACGTACCCTAAGGGTTATCCATATCTTGCCAGCACCTTCCTTATATTATTCAATATTCAGGGGTCATTATAGAAATTTATCTATAAATAGACAACAAATATTAGCTTAAGAGCTCCGAACCTTCCGATATATTATTCAACTGGAGTGTGAGGATGACCTCACAGTCACAGGATAACCTTATATTTTTTTGGTAAATGAAAATACCTATGGTCAACATTTGCATTCAAAACTTCTTTATGGTCACAAGAAATTAGAAATTTAACTGTTTTGTATGTTCAATTTTATTATAGACATAATTTTTTATGTATTTGTAAAGTTTGTAAGATAAGTATATGTAATTGGGATGACTGAAGCTTTTATAAAGATAGTTGTGAAGCTGCTATGGAGAAAGCGCGTCTTTTGAAAGCTGCTGTAAGAAAGCAGCTACGTATCACAAAAATTATTGAAAATAGTGAAAATGTATGTAGTGGCCAAGCAAAATTATGATTGCGGTCTGAAAATCAAAGCAATAAGAAAGTTGTCCTAAATGAAGCCTTAAATATTTTGTTGCTATGTTTCTGTTTTTTGTGCCATTAAGTGTGGTTCGTTTGCTGCATTGGTTTGCATTGATGGTTGGTGGGTTGGCCGGTTTAATTGGTTCGTTTTGGACGATGAGGAAGCAGCGAGGCTGCAAGCGTCGTGGACGGCCAGGGTTGGTTGGCAACCTGGTTGACCCTTCGATTTGGTTTTTTACCAGTGGATGGCCCCGCCCTGGCAACCTGATGCTGGTCTGAGTTCGTGGATTTCAACCTTCATTATTCTGATCTCTTCTTTGATTTCGCTTTTTTGATTGTAAGCATCTTATGTGGCCCTTTGGGGGTCTTCCTTTTGTAATTTTCTTGTTCAATATAGTTGGTGGTTATTAAAAAAAAAATTATAGTTGCAAAAAACAACTTTATGACATAGAAGTTTTTTAGTAGTGAAAAAAGTTATTGTCAAATGAATTTATGATTACCGCCTAAAAAGCAAAATTGTTAGACAGTAATTGCAAATAGGCCTTGAATGTAATTATGATAATCCCTAATTGTTGTGGTTATTGTAGAGTTAAATTCAGCATTTTCAATGATTCAATTCATTTTGGATTATTATAGTTAATTATGATGTCTTTTTAAAATCAGTCGGGCCTTGTATTAAATAATCTTATCTCTTCAATTTAAAAAAGAAAAAGAAGAATTATACATATATTATTGAAATTGAGAATAATTAAAAGAAAAAAAATTATGTAAGGATATTATGATATAATTTGTTTTAGGACGTGCAATGAAATTATTAAAATTGTTTAGATATTAGTATCCAATGTGAAGATTTTATATTGCATTTATCCCAAAATAAATTTAATGATTTTAAAGCTTTTCCTAATTATAAATTGTGTGAAGATATCTTAGATTTTTTTTTTTTTTTTTTTTTAAATTTTATTACTTTTAAAAAAAATTTTTTTTTTTTTTTTTTTCTTAGGCTTTTTTTTTTTTTTAAATTATATTACTCTTAAAAAAATTTCTTACTTGTCTTTTTCTACATAATAATTAGTGAGGATTTCAATCCATTTATTAATGCGCAATAGAGGTGGGTTCTACTAATCTTAATGAAATATACAATAGATATTAGCAGGAATTGGTAAATATGAGTATTAATTTGTTTAAGAATTTAGAATTATAAATATATAAAATTTAATATATAATAAAAATTAAAAGAATATATATTTTTTTTTAATTGAAG